GTAAAGTGAAAAATATAGTATTCCGTGAGATATTGTGAGAACCCCAAAATCCAAATACCAAACTAAACGGTCCAAACCCATCACCTCAGAAATAAAATGCCTTCACATGAGTAACGTACTGATCAAGAAACCGTTACCTCAACCTTAAACCTCTTGATCACTTTCTTGTTCTTTACTTACTTATTTTGTCATGGCCCAATCCCATAAAATTCCCCAAAACCTAAAAAGCCCGTTACGTGTGGCCCAAGTGCTAAGTAAAACCCTAATCTAGAGTCCCCTTTATCTCTATAATAAGCCACGCAAGTGAGAGGAGGATCAGAGTTGCGCAGCTAGAAAAAAACCCTATTGTTCTCCCACTTGCCTTCTCAGTTAAGCTAGTTCCGAGTAGCTGTTTTTCGGGGCTGATTGCCGGCGGCTCAGAAGGAATTAGATCGTGATTCTTTTATCTCTGGAAAGATCACGGATTCTAGTTTCTACAGCTTCTTTCCGATTCCAATTACGAGGTACGGTCTGCTTGCAATTCGTGTTTGAATATCGGGAAAAATCTCAGTTATCTGAATCTGAATTTTTGGTCTCAAATTCGACCAGTGAACTTTCGGGGCGATTTTCCGGCGATCCGTTAGGAGTTAGGCGACGATCTATATACCGTTGGAAAGAGGATTCTTCGTAGATTCTGGAGCTCCTTTCCGATTTGGATTCTGAGGTAAGATGAATCCGGAATTTACGTTTTAAGTTCGCCCTAGTTATCTGACCAAAATCTGTTCTCGGGTTTCACAGTGCTAACTTTGGAGGAAGGTGCACGCTGCTACAGAACGAGTTAGATTACGATTTTGGTACTGTTGGAAAGCTGACGTTACAAGGATTTCAGATCAACTTTTGGCTTTCCAATACGATATAAATTCGGTGAGTTACTGACGTTTCTTTCTGGTCAAGAAACACTGATTCTGTCAAAAACCAGAAACGCTATTTTTGACTTGAATCGCTATTTTCCAGAATCCAACCGCCCAGAACGCACATTCACATCCTTCTAGG